CGAAATTCAAAAACAAACAAACATCAGTTGGATATCATCGTTGTTAATGACATTTTTGTCTGTAAATCCATTAATTTCTCACGAGGATTTAGAAGACTTGGATTATTTCTAAATCCATACACTAAGTTAACTATGCAAAGGAATACTTTATTACAAGTTACAGCCTTTTATAGTAAGTAAGATTTGTTTTTAGAATAGGATCGACGTTTCGATCCCTGGTTCAATCATTCTCAAGTACACAAGTTAAACACAAATACAAAACAATCGCTATAATAAAAGTATAATAATAAACATTAATAAAGCCATACATATTAAATATCCTAACCAACAGTGTTAATGAAAGTAACATTAACTAGATAGAGTATATCTTATTTACTGAACACTAGATAATATTTTCAAGTAAGGTCTTAGATTTATTGTTTATGGAACAATGTAATTATTAGGACATACGAGTGAAAGCAAACAATAATATTTAACACTAGATTACGCTACTTCTATCATATCCAGTGCCGTTGAAGCCTTTAGCGCAATACCAAAGCTTATCAAGCAGGCTGGGATACGACAAACATAAAAGCAGTCGAAGCTTTATTTGTGTACTCAATGTCATGAACAACATCTGTTATGGTGTGAACTAGATTAAACAACCGTGTGTAACAAATACTCAATTTCATGAACAACATCTGTTATGATGTGAACTAGATCAAACAACCGTGTGTAACAAATACTCAATTTCATGAACAACATCTGTTATGGTGTGAACTATATTAAACAACCGTGCATATCAAAAATTTGTACAATCCTCCTTAAAAACGTATTGGAACCAATAAAAACAGACCAATAAACGACTCCGACAGTGTAGCTACAGCAATTCTTGACGTCTGAAGTAAATTTATATTATATATGTTACCGTTTAGGTATAGAAACAAGTAGCAGGACAATACAAATACTACAGTCAAAAAGTAATGCTTATGAAGATACAAATGAATAAGTAATAAAATAAACGAATATCTGAATCGTACAATAAATACTTAAAATATAGGTTTTGGTCATTGGTAATCACAATTAACTATGCTACCTGTGCTCTGTCTACCGCGAGTATCAAAACCAAATATTCAGTCCTCAGATTTACCTGTAAACCACCGAGGAGCTAGAATTATCGTACTCTAATTAAGTTTATACTATGATGAATATACTAAACATACACTGAGGTGTGTCTAACACAACTCTCCCACTGTATCGAGGAACTAGAATTATCGTACTCTAATTAAGTTTATACTATGATGAATATACTAAACATACACTGAGGTGTGTCTAACACAACTCTCCCACTGTACCGAGGAGCTAGAATTATCGTACTCTAATTAAGTTTATACTATGATGAATATACTAAACATACACTGAGGTGTGTCTAACACAACTCTCCCACTGTATTACAGTGGGAGAGTTGTGTTAGACACACCTCAGTGTATGTTTAGTATATTCATCATAGTATAAACTTAATTAGAGTACGATAATTCTAGCCCCTCGGCTAGCCTCTCCCACTTAACAAGACACATGGAACGAACAACAGGAAGTAATAAAGTAAAAGCCATAATGTAAACACAATAAGATTCGACAAAGCTTAACAATAATAAGTTATAGTATAGCTAAAGGGAGGTTTTAGTTCCCTGTCGTTGTCTTTATGAAACAATTTATCTATAGAAACATTTATTGTAAATTTTTGCATTAGAACTTTCTGTTTTAAAAGCAGAACGGATGGAAAAATCTGTGACATTAATTTCGCATTTTTATATTCCATGCGTTTGAAGATTATGACTCTATCAGTATATATAAACTAGTTAGAAGTTCTTCATTTATTACTCAAAACGTTGATCTCACATTTTGTGACTTCAGAATGAAACCAGTAAGTCTAAACAAGTTTCATCATGATTACACGACTGCAAGATGCGTCTAATAAGACTGAAGATATTTATTTTATTAACATATGATGTTGTGACACCCGAGTTCACCTAGTAAGATTTAAAAGATTATTTGCAAAACGACACAACTGTAAAAAGCATCTAATAAGACCGAAGAAGTTTCATGTACGATGTGTTGTCAGCAAAATGCATCTACTAAGACTGAACTTTTGTAACGTCAAAATATACGTAATAAGTCTGAACAAGGCTACTCTATGACAATTATAAAAATGGTGATATCTGTACATAATTTATAATTAATTTTAACTCTAAAACCATGAGGCGACCATAAAGAAGTTACCATATTTTGGTAACAACTTTACAAAAGATAACATTATCTAGACCAATTTATCATATAAGATTTTGCAAAAACTTAGGGTTCGAAATCTTGCTTTGCAAAAGTAATGAAAAGCCACTCTAGAGCAAGGATATTTTCACTTTTTCACCTTGATTTGTACCGTAAGAATGGTTTTCGACATGTTCATGATTCTAAAATACTTTGCACAAATGTAAACTAAAGCAACCAACGTCGTTGACAAGAGAAACCAATAAAAACCTCTCGCCCAAGCATATGCTGTAAAATTTTAACAGTTCAGCTACTGAATAAGTAAATTCTACAATGTTCATAAATATAAACTTTTAACAACAATTTTCGTCTTTACTACGACTGAAGATATTGGTCTAGAAAAACTAATTAAATCTACAACATCTAAGGCTATACTTACTACTTTCTCGTTTCACTAGTGTACAGGAGCTGTACGCAGCCAGAGTAAACGAATCAAGGGAGGGAAGCGGATTAAGTAGCGTAGTTATGTTACTTTTTTTTATGCCTAACTGATAAATGTCAGTCTTCATAAGTGTTGTTGGAGAGTCTGCGCCAGAAGTGTGTCATAAAGAAGGAAGCTTTAATTAAATTTAATATAACGAAATAATTGCAGTTACAATATATTCAAACACATGTTTTATCAAAACTAGTTACTCACTTTCACTCTTGAATGTATCTTGCTTAAACTCAACTTTTAAGCCTAATTCTTATCTACATCTGTGCAGCTGATAGTGATGAGCTAAACCATAGATATTCCATAATGCACTAGTTAGGACACTAGGGTTTCGAAAACGTGTCACGATGTCGCCATCTTGGAATGGTTAATGATGCAGCAGCGTTACGTCTCTCTGCTTATGTTAGGTCGTTTCTCATCTTTAAGGCTTTGACTGTCCGTTTAATATGATCGTCTCTTCTACTTTGAGTCATCTGATTTCTGTTTTATTATAAGGTTACTTTAAATTTTATTATTATTATTATTAAGTCACAATGGATTAATGATACAAGTGGTGTAACTCGAGTCTTTTGTTGAGAAGGTTTCAGAAAAGAACTTTAAGTACACAGTCAGGTTTATAACGTGAAACATCATTTTACAAAATATAATTATAATATAATTTAAGTTTAAAACAATGTCATGTAAGCTTACAAGTTCATAAGTAAGTTGAAGATCAACCCGATTTCGTTAACAAAGTTTGAGGATCAAAAGTTTCAGTTATGTACGTTCAGTAAACAGATTCCGTTCTAACCGTTGAACGATTAAAACAATGGTGAAAGAAAACATAATTTATTTAGCATACAGAGAGTTATTAAATAGATAAAAATATTTATCTCTTAATCACACGAATTAAGAGTCAGAAAAGAGTATTTCGCATATTTTGTTTACCAGTACTGATGGCTCAACATGGAACAAAATGTTTCTTTCCCCCACTTTATATTTGAACGTGGGTATTATGTAAACCAAAATCAACACTATGAATTCAAAAGTCACAAGGAATTGTTTCTAAGACTCATAACGCAGGTAAATTAATATGTGTAATTATACACGGGTTTTTCTCTACGTTAAAATACTCTTATTTGCGAGCTTCTGGCCTTCATCGAGCAACAATGTAGAGAAAAGTCCGTGTATAATTCTACATAAGTCACAAAGAATGCCATTTTATGAACATGTGCCCATATCATTTGGTCTGAAGGGTATTCAAATTCAAAAACACAACCGAATAGTACGAAGCTGCGTAGAGAATTATTGTTACGTCTCTGTTCGTTTGTTCATTTCCGGTATAAATTCTTTCCAAGGAACTTCAGCGATACAAGTCCTTTCTTAAATAAAACTAGTTTATACTTTCTCGATACAACTTTGTAAT